TTTTTTAAATTTTTGTGTTAGTGTACCGTCAAATCAGATCTGACTGGTACAGGAGGAGATTGTCCCTCCTTCGCCGGCAGAGCATCTGGTGGATTCGAACTGTCCGCCTTTGTCCTCTCTCTTTCTTACCTTCCCCTTTCCCTTCGTCTTCTCCTCCTTTTACCTTATTGACTAAGGAGTTTTGGGGGGTGTGGTGTAGCGGGTGTGTTTTGTAGCTATCACATGGGGGTGGTGTAGGAAATGAGAAGTGGGTGTATTAAAAATATAAAAAACTTCAAGTGTGGTATTTTAACAATTTTTAAGTATACAATTACTTGGCACTAATTATAGATACAGAAGCTCTGGTGGCTTAGTGGCAAGGACTTGAATTGCTAACGCAAGGAACGTGGTTAGAATCCACCAGCCGCTCCAAGGGAGAAAGATGGGCAATCTCCTCTTATGAGATTTACTGCTTCTGAGAACACACTGTGGGGGAGGGGGTCAGCTATGAGTCATTTCTGACTCAACAGTACATGACAACAACAATTACAGTATGCCATTATACAGACATCAACTCTATCTAGTTTCAGAACCTTTCATTTACCTAAGCAGCAACTCTACAGCTGTTATACAATAACTTCCCCCTCCTTATCCCTATTCTTCTAACCCCTAGTTACCCTATTGCTTGTCTCCATGAATTTGTGTATTTCTTTGTCCTTTATCTGTCCCACTTAGGTTTTTACAATATTCTATTTCCTAGCTTCTTCCTTTTTACAATATTCTATTTCCTAGCTTCTTCCTTTGTTCCGTTACAATCTAGTCTTAACATAGCAGCTAAAATTATTTCAACTCAGTTAAATAAGTTCACCTTCCTGCTCAGAATTCTTCAATAACTTTCAATCTTCAAAGTCTTAAGGATGGTATACTACAAAATTTTACATAATCTGCTCTTCTTAATTTTTGCTAAAAGAAAGAAGTGCTAAAGAGACAGATACTGAGTGTTCCGAGAACCTGAGGGTTGAACCTTTATTTTTTAAGGGAAGAAATATGGCCATAAAAATAAAAAAGCATTAGGGAGCTCTGGTGGCCTAGTGGCAAGAATCTGCACTACAATCCATAGGTAAGTGGTTCAAGTCCACCAGACGCGCTACTGAAGAAGGAGGGGCAATCTCCTCCTGTACCAGTAAGAGCTGATTTGACAGTACACACACACACACACACACACACACACACACACACACACACACACAAAAGAAGAAGAAAGAAAAAGACCTAAAGAGAGACTGATAGGGCAAAGAGAGGTAAACTGGGAAGTTTATTGGAATAAACTTCCTGAAATTAAATTAGAAAGTCACACTTAAAATCTCTTTAGATTATGCACACTCATGTTTATTGTGGCTTTGTTCATAATAGCAAAGAGTTGGAAACAACCCAAGTGCCCGTCAACAAACGAATGGATCTAGAAGCTCTGGTATATTCACACAATGGAATACTAAACTGCATTGAAAAACAAAGAACTCATGAAATATTATACAAAATGGGTGACCCTGGAGGACGTTGTTGTTACGTACTGTCGAGTCCTAGGCAACTCATAGAGACTCTATGAATGGAAGTCCTGGACACCTGTATAACTTTGATCCTTTCTCCAGGTTCATAGGGTTTCCAGAGCCAGGCTATTATTATGGGTGATCCTGGAGGACATGAAGCTGAGTGAAATATCTCCATACAAAAGGACAAATAATGTATAGTGCCACTGTTGTAAAATGGGACTGATATCAGGGTTGGGGGGAGACTGAGAAAGATGGGATAAATTATGTATACTGTATTGAAACAGATGAGGGAGAGAACTGTTTAAAAGAGATATATGATTAGGTGTTATTGTCATGACAGGAGTCCAGAACAAAGGCTGCATGGTGGAGTGGACTTGGGGGAAGGGAATGTATAACAATGAAAGAATTTTTCTTTTACTTTTCAAAGACAAGTGTGAACTGGGAGGGAGAGGTAGGCAGGGAGAAAAGTGCAACAATGAATGAATAGAAATCCAAAGTCTGTAAATTTTCATTAATATCAATAATAATAATTAAAAATATTAAAAAATCTCTTTAGATCAGAGTTAGATTTCTTGAAGACCTTTGTAAACTTTCTTAAAGTTTGTTGGTAGTAGTCACAGGACTTCAGTGTCAGAAAAGTCTGCTTTCCATGTCCACCACTCCTTTAGACAGTTACTTGCAAACTTCAGTTGCTTCTGGAAGATAAATACCAAATTTGCAGAATTTGAAAACTAAGAGATTCCATAGCATGTCATGTGTTAATTTTATCTTTTTAAATAGATAATATGCTATCTAAAATAAGGGATTACACATTGCTCTTTGACTTTGAACAAGTCTTCATATCTTTCTGGATATAAAAAATGAAATAAGGTATAAAATGTAATATAACTAGATTGGAGGGTGTCTATCATTCTCTAGATCCTTTTCTTCCTTTACCTATTACTTTCAATAGGCTTTTCAGAACTATTTCTTAAAATCAATAAATTAGGAAATAAGATAAATCTTATAGGAACACATTAGCTATTAAAATGTGTTCTCAGGTGGTGTCTGAGTGGTACGGAGTTGTGCTGCCAACCCAAACGCACAGTTTTTCACCAGCTGCTCCACAAGGACAAAGAACAATGATCTCCTCCCTTGTGATTTATGACCTCTGAAAACCAGCTGGAGGATCAGCTATGTGTCAGTTCTAACTCAATGATACATAACAACAACAAATAACAACATCAAAATTCATGCTTTCCATGTTAGGGTGTGTGTGTGTGTGTGTGTGTGTGTGTGTGTGTACCGTCAAATCAAATCTGACTGGTATAGGAGGAGATTGCCTCTCCTTCTTCAACAGGGCTTCTGGTGGATTTGAACCACATAACTCTGGGATTGCAGTGCAGCTCCTTGTCACTAGGCCACCAGAACTCCCTTCCATGTCAGTTTTATGGATATCTTTCAGTTGGTTGGTAAGGTAGCTGCCTTTCAAATTTCTTTGAACCAACAACTGAGTACCCCCACAGCTGCAACTATTTCTTGAAATACTTCAGTTGATGTTGCATCAATTCTTGGAGTCCCGTTCTTTGCCAAGGCCTTCCGAAGATTGTTGTTTTCGTTGTTGTTGTTCTTATGTGCTGTTGAGTCACTTGTGATTCGTAGAGACCCTATGTACAACAGCTCTGAGCCCTGCTCTATCCTGAGCCAACCTTATTGTCTCTGATTCACATACC